ATCCCCGCAAGTCATAAATCATTACAAGCACCTATGGGAAGTTTTATTTTAGGGAACGGGGTTTTAAAAGTTAAAATAACTGGTTGGGTCATTACACACTGACGGTATTTTTGATGTTGAGTTATTTGCTTAGGTTGCAATTATGTACTCAGTCATATTTATTCATTTGCATATCATATCTCAGTCTCTGTTCTCATTTACTGTTACATCATGTTGTCATTGTTTGGGCTAAGTGGCATAAGTTTTGTGAGCACGTGAGACTAGAGAGATTGATGACTGAGTTGGGGCCTGAGAGCCGGATTTTGAGTGATATTATGGGATCGGTCTGCACACCGCAGCAAGACTTATTGGCTTATTTATTATTATGGGATCGGGTTGCACGCCTCGGTAGGCCATATTGGCTTTATATTAGCGGTTGGGCAGGATCCGCCCCTCCGTAGTCTGACATACCAGCAGTAAGCGCAGGCACTCGTACAGTGCTAAGTAATTGTGTGTGATGCGTGGGAGTTTGAGACAGACTTATTTAGTACTCTGAGAGTGTGAGTACCTTGGATTATCACTGTGATGCATTACATCTGACATGCATATTTGACAAGTAGTCATAGAGATGCAACATTCCTCATGCTAGTTGTACTTGCATATTTTATCAGAGTTGAGCTTAAATTATTGAACGTGAAATCATGCCTAAATTTTTGTACTGTGTACGAGCTGAATATGGAAGTTCTCTGAGTTATTACTGTCATTATCTTGTTATATTTGTGTTGTCATTATTTTGATTCAGACTTTATCATTCTGAGCTTGTCCCTACTTTCAGCCCAAGGTTAGTCCTGTTACTTATTAAGTATATTGGATCGGTTGTACTTATACTACACTCTGTAATTCGTGTGTAGATCCAGGTACATCTGAACATGGTGGTTGCTAGAGTGGTTATAATACCTGTTCGGAGACCTTGAGGTAGCTGCTATGACGCCCGCAGACCTTGACTCTCCTTTCATTTATTTTATTTCAGTACTATTCTATTTTCTCAGACAGGTTTACTAGAGTTTTAGACTATGTTGACATTAATAGCTCATGTATTCGGTGACACCAGATTTTTGGGATTTTTGTAGTTGAGTCGCGGTTGTTCTTATCATTTATTTATGAGATTTTTCACTGTTGAACTTATTAAATCATGTTTTTAATCCAAATGTGTAGTTATTATGTGATTATCGCCTTGCCTAGTAATGTGTTAGGTGCCATCACAACAGGTTAGGATTTTGAATCGTGACATGCGTGCAACCTGATCCATATATCACTAAATAGGTAATAAGGCATGTTGCGGCGTGCAACCCAATCCATATAACACTCACAATACGGCTCTACGGCCCACATCAGTCAACAACCTCTCGAGTCTCAAGGGCTCACAATCTCATAGAATTCAGCCAAAACAGTATCACATATAGAACACAACAACATGTATGATGTAGCAAATAATTAATGTATAGAGACTGCAACATGACATGCAAATGAGGAATCATGACTAAGTAAATCACCGCAGTTACAACGTACAGCTTAAAACAGCAAGAATAGCCCCATTACGTCTCAACCAAATAAGCACATAGCTTAAACATGATTTCTAACATGAATCATAGCTCAAATAATCAAGTGAATAAAATAAACACTGATATAAGAAATAATTATAGTAACACAAGTCCGGTAATAGTCTAAAGTTCACTCAAATCATGAACATCCTCGCGCACGCACGCACGCCCGTCACCCCAACACATCATATATAACACCATTCCTAGGGTTAATTACCCTCAAATATAATTTTAGATATGTTACTTACCTCGAACAAGACAAATCAAATACCGAGTAAGCCAAACAATACTCTAGAAATGCCATAGGAAACAAACCCAAGCGATAAAGATCGAATATTTTATCAAATACTCAAAGTCAACCAAAAGGTTAACCCAGACCCGCACCTTAGAACCCAAATCTATCCAAAATCAGCCGAGCCACTAGGACCCGTCCGAACATACCAATAAGTTCCAAAACATAATACGGAACTGATTGAGGTATTAAATCCAACATAACAACATCAAAACTATGAATCGCACCTCAAATCAATCTTAGTGAACTATTTCCCGAACATGTCTAAACAACTTGTAATCATCTCAAATTTTGCGCACAAGTTGCAAATGATATAACAAACCTATTTTAACTCCTAGAATAATAATCCAAACTCGATAACATCGAAGTCTACTCCCGATCAAACCTATGAACTTTCCAAACCTTCAAATTGCCAACTTTTGCCAATTATAGCCAAAACCTTCTAGAAACATTCAAATGCAAATCTGGGCATATGCTCAAGTCCAATATTGCCATACGGACCTACCGGAACCATCAAAACTCATATCTGAGGTCAAATACATAAAAGTCAAACTTGGTCAACTCTTCCGACTTAAAACTTTCTATCTAAGAATCATTCCCTCGAATCAATTCCGAACCGCTTGAAAACTAAAACCGATGATACCCGTAGGTCATAATAAACCATATGAAGCTACTCAAACCCTCAAACCACCGAATGAAGCAAAAATGCTCAAAATTACCACTCGGGTCGTTACATTTTTGAGTTGGTCACACTATTTGTTTTTGTACTTGTTGAATTGATGAAACTATTTAGGTTATAGCAAGTTTTACTTATATTTGTTGCCTCTTTTACCTCGCCGAGGTTAGTCATGATACATGCTGAGTACATTAGGTTGGTTGTACTCATGCTATACTCTGCACTTAATTATGCAAATTCAGGTGCTAGACCCAATCATTAGTAGCCGAGGCTAGCAGCAGAGTTGATTGCTGAGAGACAAGGTAGAACTGCATTCTTGACCGCAGTCTTGGCGTCTCTTTTCTTAATTACTGTTATCTTTATTTCAGACAGTATTGTACTTGGTCATTTCAGACTTGTATTTCTATATTAGAGCTTATGACTATGTATTTACCAGTTTCTAGGGGCTATATCATGTAGTAGTGGTATTTTGCTATATTAAGGTTTTAGACATATGTTATTTCTGTAAATTTTGTTATTTTGGTTCTTTATTGTTATGTCCGGCTTGCCTAGCAAATGTGTTAGGAGTCATCACGACTGGTTGAGATTTTGGGTCGTGACACATATCTTTTCTAAATGCTATCACCGTAATGTATACATGTCTTTTATTCATATCTTCTCTATATGTTGTTTTACATGATGAAATAATTCACTGTACATATCTTCTCTATATATTAATTCGTGTAAAATGACTTGTTTATCTATGCATATCTTTTCTATATGCAACTGTTAACTGGTTATTTGATATCAAATGCATATCTTCTCTATATGTTGAACTATTAGTTTGTTTACAATGCTTGTGCATGTCTTGTCTATATATATCGATGGCCTTACTTGTATTTCATGCTTAGCTTTTGTTATTGTTCTTGTGCACATGTACATTCATGAACATTTTAGGTTTCATAAAATTAGTATCTTTTGACTTAAAGTCTCGTCACTACTTCACTGAGGTTAGTCAAGAGATTTACTAAGTACATGGGGTTAGTTATACTCATACTATACTTTTACACCTTGCGTGCAGATTGCAGAGTTGAGCTGCTGTGATGATGAAGGCCAACATTGTAGAGGTACCAGCATTCTAGATACAAGTTGTCACTTGTTCATGGTCGTTTAGGTTTTATATTCTGTTTATGTAAATTTTAAATAGATCATGTAATCTCTGTTCATATTAGAGTTGCACTCGTAATCTTGTTCTTAGTCGCTCATGACTTGTACTACCGGTCCTTGGGATAATTGTATGAATTTTCTCAATCTTATTTATTATTTATTGATAATCTTTCATTCGAGTTGTGTTATTTGCTGTTTGGCTTACCTAGCATGTCGCAGTTAGGTGTCATCACGATTAGATGAGATTTTGGTTCGTGACAGATATGTTGGCCTTTTCATTGTAACATTTGTTCTTACTTTCTAGACTTTTAGTGTATATTAAAAATATTTATTTTTAACTACTACTTTGCATTAGTAAGAGGATCTTTTAGGTATAATGCTCTTTCTTACTTTCAATAACTATCGTCTTGTATTAATAAAATTTTCTTGCAAATTTTAAAAGCAATGACATATTAATGGAGAAATTATACACATTAATATTGATATAATAAATTTAAAAAAGCAACATGTAAAAAGTTGTAGACAGATAAGATGCCTATTATTTATATTTGGTACAAGAATGTCATTTTTCATGAAAATTTTTCAAAACCAATAATTTGTATATGTTAGTTAAAATGTCACTTTTATCTTGCTCAATCAAAACCAATAATTTGTATTTAATAATACTAATGTCATTTTTAGCCGACTCAATTAACTACTCCCTCTTTTATAACAAGGAAAGAAAAGCTTGTTACTCTCCCTATAAATTTATCACGAAGGCAATACAATTGTTGCAACTTCTTTTTCATAATCGTAGTTTTTCTTCATTGATCATAATGGGTGGAAAGAGTTCTCCAACGATGTTTGTTTGGTTCTAGCCTTCTTACTTTATGCATCTGGTTAGTATAATTTTATTATATATTAATGTTCGGATTTTTCTCTCACTACTTTCTCCCCCCTACTTCAACCTCAACTATCAAAAGAGATTATTTTTAGATATCAAAATAATTAACACAAACTTTATTACAAATATGGCAGCTCTACAACTTATGGCAAATGAGGAGGTCAAGTCAACTGAGTTGAATGTTTTACAACTTCCGGTATCAAAAGACCTTGACGCCGAAAACGTTGATGAATTTGTTCAATAGGTTGCCACTCGTTATGGTATGCCAGTTGGTCAACTTATTTTTTCCCGTACTATATTACATTAATTATATTTTTTTAAGTATACATTTCTCCTTTATAGGACACAACAAGCAAATTGTTCTTTAATCAATTAGACATTAATATAATAGCTACCATAATACTAATTAGGTGGTCATTCGGTACTTCGGTTCGATATTTAAGAATTTCGATTCGGCATTTCGGTATTCGGTTTATCAATTGTGTATATCAAATACCGTACCAAAATATTTCGGTACGGTTCGATATTTCTTATTTTGGTTTGGTATGATTTCTGTTTAAACCAAATCTTCAGTGTCTCCCCCACTCCTTAACTAATTTAATCCATGTAGTTTGAGGTTCTACCAAAGATCAATCTGATATAGAATCAAAATTTTTGTTTGTTTCTTAATTAAAAAAATGGTACATAAATTGGTGTATCTGCAGAAAAAAACCTTTTGATGACTTGATATCCCAAACAAAAGGTCAAAAAGTTTCACGTGAGGCACAAAAAGTGTGATCTTGGTAGAATTGCATATTAGGTTTTTAGACAAGAGTATTTCG